TAGACCTCGTGTACAATAATACTAAACGTACTAAACCAACTAGTAGTAGTTAGTATAGTAAAGTTAAGTAGTACGTTCGTACGTACTACTACGTACAACAACAATTACATACTAGTGCTCTCTCTCTCTCTCTCTCTCTCTCTCTCTCTCTCTCTCTCTCAAAATGAGCCTTGCATTCACTTCGATATGATTGAGCTTGTTGCTCTAGTGGGATGCTAGAAACACTAGCCATTAGAAGATCAAATAGTTCCTCAGGTTGCTTTCCTACTGCCAATATTGTCAAATGGAAAATTATTTCATGCAACGGGGACCGCATTTCTACATTTGTGGTCCTCGAGGTATAAAGCATCCATCTTAAAGATGGATGCCAATAGGTGGTCTATCTAAAAGCAATTGAAACTACCGGTCCAAATGTTTTTTTAATAGAATTATTATTTAACTTTTAAAATTTATTTATTTTTTTATATACATGATATCCATGTTAGAGATTTTACATGTCCTTAAAAATTAGGTCCAAAAATCCATCTCAAAAATAGATTTTTAAGAGGTGACTCATTTCTACATGGACTCATAGACCAAATCTATATAATTTCAGCCAAAGAAGGCAACGACTTACATTTCAGGCCAAGACTGCTAAAAATGGCAATTCTATTAATGGTTTATTAAGGCACCTCATATAGAAGTTGTTAGTAAAATACCTGCATCCAAAGAAGCCTTTGTGTGCAGAAAGACCAGATGGATGAGCTGATCTCAAGACATGGTGCTTCGAGGCATCGATTAACCTGAGGAGACAAGGCAAATATATTTTTATGTAGAAAAGAGTAACTTAAGCTTGAATAATAGACAAGTGGAACTGCAAAATGTCAAAGAAACCCCCATTCTATTTCCATGATAGAACCACCATACCAACAAAATTATGAAACTCTCTATATTCTCGGTAACATAATAAAACAGAGCACCTTACTGAATAACCTAACCTAACCTTAAATCATACATGCCTAAATATAAAAGCACTCTAGCAAGAAAACAGCGTGATCATACACCAACACCAGAGAACTCTACAGGATTTCAGTAAAAAAAAAAAAAAATATATATATATATATATATATATATATATATATATTAATATAGTCTTCTTAGTAATAGAAGAACATACTTTTTATTTTTTTCTTAGACGTACTTATTTA